ATACACATGAAGACACGCACGCACACAAAAATAGCACACACACATACCACCCTGTCTGGTTTGATTCACTAGGGCCAAGTCAGTGACAGGAGTATGTCTGATGATAACTGACAGAATGTAAAGTGGGCTTGGACCATTGTGTGCCAAATAGACTGACTGAATCGTGTGCTTAAGAATGACTGCTTCTACGATAATCAGCAAGGGGACTGGGTGTGGATGGTGGGTGCCTAAGGATTATCACCGTGTGTGTGTCTGATAATGACCAACACTGTGGGGTGATAGACCCAGACTGCTGAGTGCATGGTCCATGTTACTTGAGTCTCATCAAGGTCTCAGGTAGGCCCTGGCATGCAGGAAGCCCTTGGTTACCACTGGCTGGCCAGATGGGTGATGGCCAAGGTGTCACAGACACTGGAGGACCCATGAACAGCCATGGACTGGAGTCTGGGTGTGCTGAGTGTTGTGACTGCCAAGACCCTGGGCAACACCTGTCTACTGCTAAGGCCACACTGCCCCCATCCCCAGCTGACTGTGCTCTGTCCCCAGAAGCCCGGGATCCTGGGAGACTCTCCCATGGGCAGCCTCCAGCCTGGGGCCCAGCCGGCCAACCCCCTCCTTGGAGAGCTGTCTGCAGGTAACAGACCCTGCTCCCTTGTCCTCTCTCTGGGTCTATCCTGTTTCCCCTTTCTGCATTGGGTGTGGTAAATTTCCAGATATATGGCCTTGGGCAAGTGACCTAACCTTTCTGGGTCTCAGTGTCTGTTAGCTTGGTGCTCGCCTCGTGGGTGAATCTGTGAGCATTCTGGACGTTGGTACACTCAGAGGGCTTGCTCAGTGCCCAGGACATAGTTATTCCTCAGCTGCTCACCCTGGTCCAGGCAGATGCTCTAGGACCCTGGGAAGGAAGGGTCCTGTATGTCTGGACTACTGACATCATTCTCTCTGTAGGAGGGGGCCTGCCCTCGGAGCTGCCACCCCGGCGAGGGAAGCCACCGCCCCTGCTGCCGCCACTGCTTGGCCCCTCTGGGGGTGACCGGGAAACCATGGGCCTGGGTCCCCCAGCAGCCCAGCTCACTCCACCCCCTGCCCCTGTGGGGCTGCTAGGCACTGGCCTCAGAGGCCTGCAGAAAGACAGTGGACCTCTGCCAACACCCCCTGGGGTAAGGTCCTGTTCTGTGCCCAGCACTCTTCCAGTCTCCTGCCCTGCGATGTTTCCCGTCAGGGACCCTCGCGAATCCAGCCCTCTCGCCATAGGTCTCACTGCTGGGGGAGCCCCCCAAGGACTTCCGGATCCCCCTGAACCCCTACCTGAACCTACACAGCCTGCTCCCTGCCAGCAACCTGGCGGGTAAGGAGGCCAGGAGCTGGGGAGGCGCTGGGAGAAGCCGCCGCCCAGATGAGGGCCCCCTGCCTAACCCCCCAGTCCCCAGAGGTGGTGGTGGCGGAGGCGGTGGTAGCAGCAAAGCCTTCCAGCTCAAGTCCCGCCTGCTCAGCCCCCTCACCAGCACCCGCCTGCCCCCTGAACCAGGGCTTCCTGACAGCTATGGCTTCGACTACTCCTCGGTGAGTATCTGCCTGCCCTGTGGTCCTAGAGCTGGCTATTGTGGCCCTTTGCCCCCTGGGAACAAGTCATTCTCTAAACTAATATTTCTCTAGAACTGACTGTGTCAGGCCAAGCACTAGGGAGACAGTGGGGAACATGCCAGACACAGTCCCTGCCCTTCAGTCTCTTGTCTGTTTCTGTACATCAGATCTTGCTTCCTCTCCCAAGAGGCCTTAGGCTGCACTTCTGCTTCTCCTTAGAGACAGGGCTGAGCCTCCTATCTCTCTGCCCTTCTCTCTCCTCTCCTCTCTGAGATTCCTGTCTCTGTCCCTGGGGAGCTCTTCCTTCTGCAACTTCCAGTGTCTTCCAGGTTAAATGTTGCAGACTGGCCACTTGCAGGCCACACTGTATTATAAAAAAATAACAACTGAAATAAACACTGATACCGACGTATAAACACTGCAAACATTCACACAATCCGGATGCTCAGCTTGCCTTGAAAACTCCAAACACCTGGCCCCATTGGGGCCACATGATTTCATAGCAGTCATCTCTGGGTCTGAGGTAGAGCCACTCCCTGGGACAGAGAACATTCTGTCTCATTGCCCCATGCACCAGAGTTTACCCTTTGCTGGAAGGGACAGACTTCCCTGATGACATCTGTGCCGGAGAATTCAGCTAGGAGTGAGGTTGGTGCAGACTTCAACCCAACACACTTTCTCCCACTTTCATGCAGGACGTGGGACCTAGGCGGCTCTTTTCCCACCCACGGGAGCCAGCCCTCGGGCCTCATGGACCCAGTCGACACAAAGTAAGAGCTTCCCTGTGAATCCCACCTACCATGTGTATCAGTTTGCTGCATAACAAGTGGTCCTACCACTTTGTGGCTTACAACAGCATTTTATTTCACACCATTCTGTGGGATGGTGGGTGGATGGTTCTCTACACTCACCTTTCAGCTCAGCTGAAGCTCAGCAGTTCACAATGGCCTTAGTCATATAGCTGCAGTCAATAGGCTGGTCAGTGGGCCTTCACTGTGGGCCTCACGTGATGAGCTCCATGTAGAGGTCACCCTCCAGCAGGCCAGCCTGTGCGCATGCATGTGGTGGTGGTCCCAGGGTTTCCTGGAGGCAGAAGGGAGGGCAGGCACCTCTGCTTGCATCTTTATGCTACTTACTGTCTTATTGGCCAAAGCTAGTCACATGGCAAAGCCCAGAGTCATTTAGGGGTGGTTTACAAAAGGGGATAGATACTGTAGTAGCCTGCCTCACTCAGCTGGCCCCCTTTCTACAGATGTCCCCCCCACCCAGTGGCTTCAGCGAACGGAGTGGTGGGGGCGGTGGGGGATCCTTCTCTCACTTTTATTCGGGCTCGCCCACTTCCTACTTCACCAGCGGCCTGCAGGCTGGCCTCAAGCAGAGCCACCTTAACAAGGTGAGGAGCCTCCCCCAGCTGAGCACAGGTTCCCAGGGTCAGCTAGGATGCAGGGGACCCCTGTGACCCTCAGAGCCTAGGTAAAGGCTAGGGTGGTGGCAGGGGTGAGTTTTCCTCAGGGCCTAGCTGAAACAAGCCATCCTTTCTGCACCTGTGTGTCTAGCACCTGATGCTGCCCAGCCTTCTGGGCTTCCACTCACTTTCCCAGCAGCCCAGGGGGTGGGTGATATTAGCCCCAGTTGACATGAAAAAACAAAAGCTCAGAGAGAGGAACTAATTTGCCCCCAATCGTGGCTAGTATGCAGCAGAGGCAGGATTTGAACCTGAAGCACCCTGACCTTTGCTCTGGGGGATGTTTCCTCTCCCATCTTCCGTTTCTGCCAGGCGGTCGGTTCCTCCCCACTGGGCTCCGGAGAAGGGCTCCTGGGCTTGGGCCCTGGGCCCAATGGCCACAGCCACCTGCTGAAGGTACAGGCAAGGGATGGGGACACACATGGCTGGGGAACGGAACAGTGACCTCTGTCCAAGGTGGCCCCTGACCTGCTACCCTCTCTCCTTTGTCTCCAGACACCACTGGGTGGCCAGAAACGCAGCTTTGCCCACCTGCTGCCCTCACCAGAGCCCAGCCCCGAAGGCAGCTACGTGGGACAGCACTCCCAAGGCCTTGGTGGCCATTACGCAGATTCATACCTGAAACGCAAGAGGATTTTCTAAGGGGCTAGTGCCAGAGATGCTCCAGGGCCTGCACCAAATCGCTTTTGGGTTTTCTGGTGTTTTGTGTTTTTGTTTTGTTTTTTTCTTTCAGTAATAGGAAAATCTCTGAAAGACTTTGCTGACCAACCAGCTGGAGCCCAAGGAGTGTGGGAGAGTCTGGGGGCCACTCTGCATCTCTGGTCTACTCCTGGCATGGAAACCCTGCAGCCTTAAGAAAGAGAGCAGGCTGGGCCCCTTTCTGCCCTCCCTGTGTCCGCCTGCGTCTGCCTCTCTGGGAGTCTTCTCCTGCCTCCTCGCTCCTGTATCTTGGCCTTTCGAGTGCCTTGGACATTTCCCTGATCTCCCATGAGGATCAGAGACTATCCCCCTTTTTTAACTTTGACAATTGACTTTTGTTTCCTTTTCTAATTTTTATTATTTTTTTAAACAATCCAGGACGACCCCCAGCTCTTATACTTAAAAGGTTCAACATGTCTGGACCTCCATTCCACACTTCGGTTTGAAATGGCTCAGCTCTTTTCTCTTTTTCCCATGTCTGTTACAGGCATGGCTTCTTCCTTCCCCTGCCTACCCAGTCTGGCCTGTACTCCAGCTCTGGGTGCCCTGCTCCCTGCCACAGTCCCCTTGCCTTCTGATGCCTTAAAGCCAGGCCCCAGGCCCCGCTGGCCAGAGCCTCTCAGATGCCAAGCTCTGGAAGCTTGACTCAGGACCAAACAGCTCTGGCCTAGGGATTGGGTCCCTCTACCCAGGGTCCCCACCCTGGGGACAGTAGAAGGCCAAAGCCTTGGTCTTAGCAAACCAAATCCACCATCCCTCTGCCCAGGCCTAGGTGCAGAGACAGGCTTTCTCTGCCAGCTGAAACCAGTCCCCCTGCTCTTTGTCAATGGGAGTCGGGCACTGTGCATCTCACTGAGCCTCTGCTGACTCCCCCCATGTTGAAGATGAGTTCCACCTCCGTCCCCAGGCCAGGTCACCTGGAGCTGGCCTCCCCTTGTCCCATTGCTGGAATCAAACAACTCCATGCAGATAAATTCTGCCCCTGCCCACCAGCAGGACCTGTTGGCTTGAAGTGAGCCTGCGCCGTACCCTGGCCAGCTAGGCCACCAGCTTCCTTCTCCTCACTCTGGGGGTCTACATCCACTTCAGGGGGTCCCCAATCCTCTCACACAGACCTTTGCTGAATTAAAGTTTGTAAGTAAATGGTTTTAAAGAAAGCAGAGCTGGCTCGTTCTTGAGACAAACAATGGGCTAGGGTGGGAGGTCTGGGATGGCTGCCGCAGGTCTTGGTATGCCAGCCAGACACTGCCGCTGCTCCCCCCCCCCTTCCCCACACAGATGTCGGCGCTTGTATTAGAGTAATTACGGATCTCTTGCTCCCTTGTGTGCCGGAGCGCATGCCCTGTTGCCGGGTCACGTGATGCCTGTCATGGCCGCCTCCTTGGCCCGGGGCGGTGTTAATGCCGGGTTCTTGCTACGGGTGGCCAAGGGTTCCTTGTGGAGCCCATCCGGGGGCTTTTGGGGGTACGGGGGAGCGGTGGCTCCAGCGACAGCGAGAAAATTCCGGGTGACAGGTACCTGAGGCGCCTCGGGTTGGGGGTAGGGCAGCACTAACCCGTCGAATGCTCACAGGGCGCTGCGCGTGGCTCACCCAACTGTGTTTTCCAGGCTCGGGGTTGGCTGGGGAGGAAGAAGCGAGCGGCCCCGAGCGGCCTGAAGACGTGTGAGTGGGGGCGGGGGAAGTCCCCCATTCCTCATCCCAGGAGGTTTTTCTAGTCCCTGCCTTACCTTGCAGCCTAATCCTTGGGTCCCCCTCTGCTTTGTCCCGTTTCCCTGTCCGTCTAGCCCAGACCCAACTTCCTAACCCTAGATTCCACCTGAACCCGGGGCCATCATCCAGTACGGCATCTGCATCCCCATTTGTCCTCAGGGTGAACGTGGTGTTCGTAGACCGGTCAGGCCAACGGATTCCGGTGAGAGGCAAAGTCGGGGACAATGTTCTCCACCTGGCCCAGCGCCATGGGGTGGACCTGGAAGGTGGGAGCCAGGCACAGGGAATTGAGGAGGCTCTTATCATTCGTTGAAAAAACACCACCACACAAATCAGATATAGATGTGTCTCCACTGATTAACCCTCCCATGGCTTCCCACCAGTCCTGGATTAAAATCTAGACTTCTCACCACTGCCTCATCCCCTGCCCAGCTAGCTCTTAACGTTCATTGCCTCCCCCCCCCCC